GGAAGCCCAGGTCCCGGGTCCCGGGTGCTGGAGGGAAGCCGGTGCCAGCAGCCGCGGGAAGGAAGGCCTACCTACTCTTGTACGAATTCTGTGCATCGGGCGTCTAGTCCAATGAGGAGGAGAATCATTGATCTGCTGCCTCCTGCACGCCCCCGACTGGGGATCGAGCCTGCAACCCGGGCATGTGCCCAGACCAGGAACTGAACTGTGACCTCCTGGTTCATAGGTCAATGCTCAACCACTGAGCCACGCCGGCCGGGCCCAGCTCCCTTTTTGAGAAGCAGCCTCCCTTCTCCAAGTTCATGCTCCTTGTACCTGCTTCCTCAGCACCAGGGAGAACTCAGAGCAAGATGCTTCCCTTATTACACGATGTGGAGTTCGCGAAAGCGTTAGCAGGAAAGAGCTCTGGAAAGAGTCCCTCTCTGGGTGGGGGGAGGGTGACAGGGCCCCCTCATGAAGGCTCTAGAAAGCAGGTGCTCCTCCCGATGTGGCAGCTACGTCTGGGGAGGCCAAGCCTCGCTCTGGACCACACAGCAGTGAGCACTGCCAATCAGGAGAGTGTCCCCATCCGGTCACTGTCATTCGTCCGCCAAGAACCACACAGCCAGGCAGGGGGTCTGTCTCTGGGGGTGGCTAGGTGCAGGGACCCCAGGAGAGCCAAGCAGATCCGGTTCATGCCTGTGGGCTTGCCACTCCATAGCGTCTCCTTTCCATCCCCCAGCACCACCCTCTTCTCTTTCTTGTTGTCCTAAGTGCTCTCTGCCCGCTCTCGGCGCCCTGCTCCCCTCACCTGCCTCTCCTCTGCCTTGCAGATGCCAGCACGTACGCCCATTACCTCTTCCACGCCTTCGACACCACCCAGACCGGCTCCGTGAAGTTCGAGGTGGGTGTGTCTCTGGGACTCCCCAGGTCCCCGTCTCCTCTGCCTCTGAGTCACAGGGTGTTGGGGAAAGGGTTGGTCATCAGATGCCCTCAGGGAAGACAAAAAACCTCCATCCGTTTAACAAGCATGTCCTGGATAGAGAGAGAAGCGGCCGGCCCTGCCTCCGGAGCTCAGGGCCTCGAGGGACCAATGGTGGCAGTCTGGTAGCCCCCGTGCACACGGAGCAAGCACACGCAGGCTCTGTGCTTAGTGCTTCGTGTGTATCAGTTCCCTGAACCCTCACAATAGCCCTGCAGAGTAGGGGCTGTTATGTACTACCAGTTGCAGAAGCGGGAAGTAAGGCAAAGAGAGGTCACGTGCTTTTCCCAAGATCACACAGCAAAGGAGGGATTTGAACTCAAGTAGGACATTCCCAGAGTCCACACTCTTAGCCACTAGACCAGCGGTTCTCAACCTGTGGGTCGCGACCCCTTTGGCGGTCAAACGACCCTTTCACAGGGGTCGCCTAAGACCATCCTGCATATCAGATATTTACATGACGATTCATAACAGCAGCAACATTACAGTGATGAAGTAGCAACGAAAATAATGTTATGGCTGGGTCACAACATGAGAAACTATTTAAAGGGCCAGAAGGTTGAGAACCACTGCACTAGACTATGCCACCACCCACACAATCACCACAGCCGTGGGAGGAGGCAGTACCAGGGAGGCTGTGGCCCATGTCTGGAGGTATCAGCAGGCACAGAGCTCCATTCCTCCCCAAGGGGGCTCCTTCCCCAAACGTGGGGCAGGGAGGGGAATAAAGTGGGGGGCAGGGGGGAGGCGCTGCTCTTCCCTGAGCTCAGCCATATCCTTCCGGGGACAGAGGCCATGGGAGACACCACGGTGTCAAATCAGTCACAGAGTCGGACCCACAGACAGAGCTGCACCCCAGCGGACAGCTTGGTGTTACTGTCACTCATGCCTCTTCCACTTCCCAGGACTTCGTAACCGCTCTGTCGATTCTGCTGCGAGGAACCGTCCATGAGAAGCTAAGGTGGACATTTAACTTGTATGACATCAATAAGGATGGATACATAAACAAAGAGGTGAGCGGGCTGAGGCCCAGGGCGTGAGGGGCCACCGGAAGGCATCTCATGAAATAGGAAACAGCCCAGACATGGTGAGGAAGGTGTCCCAGTGAGGAGGGGTCTGCTTTGGGGCGAACAGAGCTGGTGTCCGGCAAAATGAAGAAGTTCACCTTTGCCCTCCCCGTTGCTCTAGCTGCCCCTTTCCCGGCCACTAAGAAAGGGCTAAATAGATCCATTCATTCTCACTGGCTCACACACATTCGATGTAGATTTCTAAGTGGGTAGAAGTGGTTATTTCAGTGTAGAATCACTCTTCCCAGGGGAGCTTACATTTTAACAGGTTAACAGCCACAGTGAGAGCCAAAAGTTGGAATAGTTTTGCAGTTTTCTCCTTGAAGAGAAAAGGGAGATTTGGGGCGAAGAAGAGACCACAATTGGATCATATGGGCCACAACCTATTTTGCAATAAACCCGCAGAAGGGCGGGGGGGGGGGGGGGG